TTCAGTGGTTCATAGTAAGCACTTGATAAAGGTTTGGTTTTGAATGAATGAAGGAGTGAACAAATGAATACTTCTTGGCATGGGTGGGGTATAGGGGGTGGGAAAGGGAACTCAGTTGCACGGTTCCCCTGCTGGCCCCAGAAGAGGCTAAGGGCACTGACATCATTTCTACCTGTGGACAGCGATGCACCACCAAAACCATCAGTGCAATGTATTTTTATTCTTCAGAGATACTAGGAAAACAAGAGCCTTTGAAATGATACACAAAGGACTGCAGACTATGAATGGTTTTTAGAATCTTTTGAAAATCACTCCTGGAGAAAAGCCAACTTTCTGCCTCCCTCTCTCTCTCACTTGTCAGAACTCCAGATAACTGAGGGGTGCCTGGGTGGTTCAGTCAGTTAAGTGTCTGACTCTTGATTTTGGCTCAGGTCACGATCTCACAGTTTGAGCCCTTCATCAGGCTCTGCACTGACAATGTGGAATTTGCTGGAGATCCTCTCTCTCCCTCTCTCTCTCTGCCCTCCTGCACATGCATGCATGTATGCTCTCTCTCTATCTCAAATAAATAAATTAATTAATTAAAAAAAAAAAGAACTGCTAACAACTGAGAGCTGAAGTTTTTAGGAAAAGAGAGACTCCAAATTAGTGAATAATAAAAGCCCTTCGTGTACCCTGCATAGAAATATTATAATACTGCTATGAAAAATAAAGAACAGGGACACCTGGGTGGCTCTGTCGGTTAAGTGTTCAATTCTTGCTTTTGGCTCAGGTCATGATCTCACTTTTCTTGAGATCCAGCCCCACATTGGGGTGTCTAACAGTGTGGAGTTTGCTTGGAATTCTCTCTCCCTCCTTCTCTCTGCTCCTCCCCCCCTCAAAATAAATAAACAAGTAAACTTAAAAAAATAAAGAACAGCAACAACAACAAAAAGCAAAACAATACTGAGAGTCATTTTTTTTTAAACCTTATTTATTTTTGAGACAGAGAGACTGACAGAGTGAGAGCGGAGGAGGAACAGAGAGAGATGGAGGCAGAGAATCCGAAGCAGGCTCCAGGCTCTGAGCTGTCAGCACAGAGCCTGACGCAGGGCTCAAACTCACGAACTGCAAGCAAGGTCATGATCTGAGCTGAAGTAGGATGCTTAACTGACTGAGTCACCCAGGCACCCCTGTGAGTTGTTATTCAATGGAAGGCCACTCTAGTAATTTTATCACGTGATTTTATTTTAATAACATTTACTTTTTTTCTGATTATAAGAGTAATGCATGTTTCTTGTAGAAAACTTAGAAATACAGATATCTTAGAATAAAAAGTAAAATAAAATTTTCCATAATCCTACCACTGATTGCATAGTTAATACTTTTATAAATATTCTTCAGTTTCTTTTGCATGTGTGTTTAACCAGTCCTGTTCTAATCATGATTTATTATTTAACCAGTACCTGTTCTAATAGTTCACTACAGTAAAAAAGCATTGTGATAAAACCCCCTGTAAAGAAATCTTTATACTCATCTGCTTTTTTTTTTTTTTTTTTTAATAAATTTCCAGAAGGGTGCCTGAGTGGCTCAGTCAGTTGAGCATCTGACTCTTGGTCATTATCTCACAGTTCATGACTTCGAACCCCACTTTAGGCTCTGGGCTGACAGCTCAGAGCCTGCTTGGGGTTCTCTGTCTCCCTCTCTCTCTTCCCCTCCCCGCTCACACTCTGTCTCTCTCTCAAAATAAATAAATAAGCTTAAAAATAATTAAAGGGGAGCCTGGGTGGCTCAGTTGGTTAAGCATCAACTTTGGCTCAGGTCTTGATCTCACAGTTCGTGGGTTTAGGCCCCACGTTGGCCTCTGCTGACAGCTCAGAGCCTGGAACCTGCTTCAGATTCTGTGTCTCCCTCTCTCTCTGTCCCTCCCCTACTCATGCTCTGTCTCTCTCTGTCTCTCAAAAATAAATAAATGTTAAAAAATATTTTTAATTAAAAAATAAAATAAAATGAAATTTCAGAAGTGGAATAATTAGATCAAATGATATATTAAAAAATTTTAGTAAGACCATCTTTTAGTAAGATAGGATTATATTCCCAACAACACCAAACATATATTTGTCCCAAACATATATTTGTCAACCTTGCATGTTATATTTTTACGTGTCATCTTTACACAGGGCCATGCTAATCTTCTCTGCATTGTTCCTATTTTAGTATATGTGCTGCCAAAGCAAGCACTCGCATGTTATGTATAGATTTTTTAAATTTTTATTTATTTTGAGAAAGAGCACGAGTAGGGGAGGAACAGAGAGAGAGAGGGAGAGGGAGAGAATCCCAAGCAGGTTCTACACGGTCAGCACAGAGCCTGACTTGGGGCTCGATTCCACAAACCATGAGATCATGACCTGAACCCAAATCAAGAATCAGATGCTTTACCTACTAAGCTACCCAGGCACCCCTCGCCTGCTCTATTTTTTTTTTTAATTTTTTTCATGTTTATTTATTTTTGAGAGACAGAGACAGAACACAAGTGGGGGAGGTGCCAAGGGAGGAAGACACAGAATCTGAAGCAGGCTCCAGGCTCTGAGCTGTCAGCACAGAGCCCAACACAGGGCTTGAACCTATAAACTGCGAGATCTTGACCTGAGCCGAAGTGGGATGCTTAACCAACTGAGCCACCTAGGCGCCCCAGTATGAACGTTTTAAAAATGATACTAATCCTTTTGAATTCCTTCTTTCATGGCATACATGAAATTCTGAATTTTGATGTGTTTCATGTGGTAATCATTTATGAGAGGTTCAGATAGTAAGATCTACCTTTTGTCACATTTGTTAAAAACATTTTCTCCAATCTGTCATTTGCCTTTTTTGTGACATCTGATATATCTAACTAACTCTTGCATATTTACTCGAATATATATACTCATCCTTGGCTTTCTTTCTGTGCTTTATATTTGGGCTTTCTCTTCTGAAATAATGCACCTATATTTTCTCTTAATTGTCTTGTATTTTGTTGTTGTTTGTAGTTCTTTGGGCTTGATAAAGCTAATTTATAGATAGGGACCCCTAAAACAGAGGCCACCCTAGTAGTCTGCGCCACATCACAAATCTAAACCTAAGTCATTCTGCACTTTTCTGGAAACACCTGGCAAGGAAACCTAATATACACCAATCACACATCTCCAAGTTAGCTTTAGCTAGTTTACCTTACCTTAGGAAATAGGACCTGCTAGCCTTATAAGGAAATCTCTAACCTCTTAATGAGTCATGCCTTGCTTCTGCATTACCTCTTGTAACATTCTATAAAACTTGTTCTTGCCCAAAATCCCTCTGGAAGAGGTCTCCACTGCTGGTGAGACACTGCACTCTCCCAATCCAAGGACTGTGTTCCCTTGAATAAAGGACATCAGACTTGTTACTAAATTGTTTTGGTTTGTCATTTGGCAGGTATGTATATATATAATATACATGTATATATATAATATATAGTACATGTATATATATTATATATGTTTATTCATTTATTATAAATGTTTATTCATTTTTGAGAGAACATGCATGCATGAGTGGGGGAAGGGCAGAGAGGGTGGGGCAGACAGAGGATCTGAAGTGGTCAAGTCCAATGTGGGGGCTCAGACTCAGGAACGGTGAGATCATGACCTGAGCTGAAGTCAGACGCTCAACTGACTTGAGTCACCCAGGCATCACTATTTTAGTTTTGTCATTTGACAGGTTCTTATATTTATTTGAATGATGATTGAAATAAATCTCTAGTTTTATTTTTACCCCCAAATTAACTAATTTCCTCAGCCTAATTTAATGAAGAATTTATCCTTTTCCACACAAAAGTGAAATGCCACATTTATCCTAAGATTGGATTTTAAGTATGTTGTATACGTTTCTAGACTTCAGTTATTCCACTGATGGTTATCCATCCACTCTTGTATTGACACCACTATTATAATTATACCTTAGCAATATGTTTTTTTAAATTTATGTTTTATTGGTTTTTTTTTTTTAATTAATCTTCACACTCGATGTGGGGCCCGAACTCATGAACCCAAGATCAAGAGTTGCATGCTCTTCTGACTGAGCCAGCCAGGCACCCCAGGTTAGCGATATGTTTTAAGATTTGGTAATATAGGTCTATCTCCTCCATTTTTAAAATTTAAAATTCTTAGATTTTCTCATGGATATTCTTCCATTTGAATGTTACAGAAAGTGTTACATGTTATCTTTTCCAGCCTCATCTACCCACAATCATTAGAATTTTATTAAAGGACTAAATTTGGGTAAAGTTGGTATTTTCACCTTCTATTTCTTCAAGACTTTCTTATTATGTTTCAACTTTTATAATGTCTTCATTAAAAGCCTTTATTTCTCAGTAACTTTATTCCTAGGTATTTCACACTTTTACAAGAGTATATATACCGTATAATATACGTATAATACACTATATATATTTTACATTAAAATTGCTCTTTAAGCTCCAGTTGAAGCTTGTCAAAGCTGACTTTAAAATTTTTTTCCAGGTGGGTATGTGCTTTCAGGAAACCAGTCAGAAACTAAAGGCGCTTTAGTGGTGGCTATTTATTGAGTGTTCTTTTTATACCTGACATGGCAATTATCACTTCACACGAATTATCTTCTTTAATAATACAGTATCTTCAACAGGCTCGTGCAATTTTTATTCTCATTTTACACAAGAGGGTTCCCCGTCTTAGAACATGTGAGGAACTTGGCAAAAATTATCCAGTTTGTAGGTGGGTTTGAAACAAGTCTGCGAATCTCAAAAAGTATCACAAAAAAAAACCATTAGCCAAGAGAACAGCCCACTGTGGTGCCAATAGATCAGCTGATTAAAGGGAGTGCCTTTCCGAAAACAATCAGCTGAATTAAAAAGACAATGCTTTCCATCCACGGTACCGTTGGTTTTCCACCACTCCAAGACGCAGATCTACACTCTGCAGGAACACAATAAATACCAGTTGATTCACTGAGCCTCCTTTTGAATTCAGGACTCGTGGGTAACCAAGAGCGGCTTTTCTGGAGCGTTAGTGGGAATTGTCCGTTTAGAAATCTACCTCCCCATCTCGAGACGAGTTTAAAAAAAAAAGAAGAAGAAGAATTAAGAAAGAAAAAACAGGTGGAACCGACGTAAAATTGGCCACAGCAGCGCACGCGGGAGACAGAACTTTCTGGGGGCATCCTGCCCGCGCTCTTCACGCGTGGTGCGCGCAGGTGGCGCTGCGGTCCCTGAGCTCCCCGCGGAAGCCAGCGAGGAGCCCAGGAGGCCACCCAGAGCCTCCGCGAAGGTGAGAGGAAGCTTTCCACCCAAGCGGGGGAGGCGGGCGGGCAGGAAGCGGAGCCAGCGCCGGCGAAAGAAAGACTCCAATTCCCAGCCCCCCGCCCCACGGGGTGCGGGCCGCCGGCGCATGCGCGTGGCCCGGCCCCCAATTCCCCCAGCGAGGGAGGGAGGCCCCCGGCGGCCGGGAGGCTGCGAGCCGCGGCGGGACCCGAGCGCAAGCAGGGGCGCGGCGGCGACGAGGGCGAGCGGGGCTGCGAAGGCGAACGTCGAGAGCGTGGGGCGCCCCGCGCGCGCGCGCGCGCGCCCAGCCGCGTGCAGACACCCGAGGGCACCGCCGGCTTGGCCCTGAGAGGGGCCTGGCACCCGCAGCCCCCCAAGCCCGAAGAGGGATGCGTGAGTTTTCGCCCCGGCTCGAGGGCAGGATGTGGGAGCAGGACAAAGGCTGGGCGGCGGGGGAGGAGTTGGGGACGGCGAGCCGGTGGCCGCTGCCGGAGCTCCAGCCTTGGGTGAGCTAGCGGAGTCGGCAACTTTCTGCGCAACTTTTGCAAAAAGGAAGATAAAAATTCTGCAAGTTGTTGCAGAGTTCCAGGTGGCCCCGGCTCCCTCGAGCAGAGGGCAAGGGGGCACCGCACCCTTGGCTGGGACCGGAGGCGACCACCGGCTCCTCTCAGCGGGGTAGGAAGGGGCGCCCATTCGGGCCCTGGCCGGGGACTAGCGAGAATAGGGATGCCGCGGGTCCGAGCCGGGGAGGCGTGCTGCGGCTGCTCAAGTTGCCCATGTCCATGCAGGGTGCGCCTTGAGAGCCCGGTAGCGTCGGATCTCTGTGCTGCATACCCGATGATGGATGAGCCGTGGTGGGAAGGGCGCGTCGCCTCAGACGTCCACTGCACCCTGCGCGAGAAGGTCAGTTCCTCCCTGCCGCGGTTGGCTGGGTATTTAAAGTGCCTTTGGGTCTCGATTCGATGTCCTCCGGTCGTCCCTTGTAGGTACTGGATCTCCTGATGGCCTTGCTTTCTTCCTGCCCTTAGCCTTCTCCCGGAAAATTGTGGGGGAGAAACTGGAGATTGGAGAGCTTTAACTGGTTTACTGGTTAGGAACTCAGAGATCGTGACTGTAGTCCTTAAAGCTATATTTCCCATAGTATTGCCACAAGAGATTATTTTAAATGGTACCTTTAAAAGAAACAATTATTGTGTATTCATTTTAATGTGAAATTTAAAAAATGAAAATCTAGCAAGTTCTGCATAGGACCAATGATGCTGATTTCCCATTGATTGTAATGACCTAACAGTTCCTTTTAAGATAGTAAAAGTTGTGACTGGGTAGAAAGAAATGTTAGGTAAGCGAAAGTGTAAGGTATATAGAAGTTATGTCTCCCTCAAAAACAAAAACAAAAACAAAAAAACCCCCACAAATCTCTAGGATGGAACTGAGTAAACTTTAAGAAAAAACAGTCTAAATGAAAGGCGACAAAACTGGGAGGCTGTGAGAAGAAAACAAACACTCCCCTGCCAGTTTGCCTCTGGGGGCAGCTGAAATGGGATCCCTGCCCTCCCCTCACCTCAAAGGAAGTGCTGATGGCCACTGAGGCAAGGGCCTGTGTGTCTTGCCTTCTGTCTTTGGGCTGAGACTGAGAAGGGTGGTTTGGGAAACAGGTGTGAAATAGAGGAGTATATTGGTTCTCTAGGGTTGCCTTGAGGAGAGGACTTAAAACAATAGGAATGTGTTCTCTCACAATTCTGGAGGCTACAAGTCCAAAGTCAAAGTGTTGGCAGAGTCATTCTGATCCTTGGCCCTTCTTGGCTTGTAGATGCATCGTTCCAAACTCTGAGTTGGTTGTCACACAGCATTCTATGTTTGTTTTTTCTCCTTATAAGGACACCAGTCATTGGAATAAGGTCTACTTTAATACAGTATTTTAATTTAACTGATTACATCTGAAAAGACCCTATTTCCTAGGTGGACATGAATTTGGTGAGAAGGGGGTGGATACAATTCAACCCAATATAGGGAAGGAGAGGTCTTCCTAGTGGGGTACCTGGGTCCCTACACAGACAGGTAGTGCATTTGCACCCAGTGTCTGTGGAGTTCTTACAAAGTCACCAGATATTCAGGGTTGTTGTTTTTTGCCCCCTCATTAGGGAGTGGCTGTCTTCCAGCCAAATTAATATTTTTTTCTTTTGCCTGTACCTGTTAGTCTATCTCTGTCTTGTGTTGGTTACCCAGGCTGTAGCTTTTTTGATCTTCTCCCTGGAGCAGAATGGCCAAGGTGCCACACATTCTGAGCATCTGGAGAAGAAATCTAGGTCTTAAAGTGTTAGAAGGCAGAGATAGTGGATTGGTAGGCCAGGCAGTATAGTCCTGGTCCTTTCCTGGAGGTAGTGGCTAAATGAACTAGGAAGAACTGCCATGGAAATTGGGTTTCCTTGTTGATCATAGGCTTGAGTGGTTATCAGTTCTCCTCATAGCTTGTGAGCAATGACTGGTATAATTTGTCCCTTTCTAGCAGGAAGGATTTCTGAAAGCAGTATAAACTCAACCAGCTCAGTCACCTGAGAATCCCCAGTCTTTTATATGAGTGTTCTGAACACCCCTCCAGCCACTCAGAGGAGCAGGGGCAGGCGGTCCCCCATTAATTGTGCCTCACCCAAGCCATATCACTCTTAGTTTCCTGTTGGGCTGCCTGCCTCAGAGGGAGAAGAGCTTTGTCGAGGCTTTACAGGATAGAAATGGAAAACTCAGGGGTTGATGCCTAGGGTCCTCTGTGACCTTGAAGCTGGTCTTATCAGGGCAATCCCAGGTTCCTTTGGTTTATAATGTAAATGCCCCCCCATATTAACTATTTTCCTCCTTTATTTCCACTCTCTGTTCAAAGAAGCAGATGCTTTTTTTTTTTAATGTTTATTTTTTTGAGAGAGCTTGTATGTGAGCAGGGGAGGGGCAGAGAGAGAGGGGGACAGAGGATCCAAAGCGGGCTCTGTACTGACAGCAGATGACAGCCTGAAGCGGTGCTCGAACTTACAAACCTCAAGATCATGACCTGAGCCGAAACCAAGAGTTGGACGCTTAATCGACTGAGCCACCCAGGCGCCCCAGATGCTTCTTGAGACAATTTGGTTTTATGGAGAGTTTGCAGAGAAAAGCGAGGGCTAAGGGGAACCTAGCAGCCATACCAGCCTCACCTTTCTTAAGGAATGAGGGCTGGCCTTTCATTTTTCCCAGAGTAATTTTTTAGTCAACATCTATTCTAGTACTACATTTCTAACACTGTAGAACAATTTTGTGTGTGTTTGGCACACAGACACTGTTGTTTGTCAGATGTTCCCAGATAAACACAAAGTGTGTTTGTGTGTGTGCCGTTGAACTGTCATCATCGACCCGGGCATGGTTATGCTCAGTTGACTGATGCAGGAAGCAAGGCTGGATCACCGAGCTAGTGGAAGCCCCACTTTGTCAGATGTGCCATTCCAGAATAGCATTACACTATAGTGTGTAAAATGTGACACTGTGGAAATGAACGGTGGTGTCAGATGCACACTAGTTATGGCGGTGAAACCCCGAGCTGCTTGTATGACCTCTCTAAACTTCTTTGAACCTGGCTTCCATTGTCCATTCTTCCCACCACCACCAGAACTTAGATCGTGTCAGTTCCCTGCTTAAAGACCTCCACTGTCATCCTATTGCTTTCAGTAAAATTCCCAGTTCTTACCTGTACCTGTAATATCTGACATAATTGGGCCCCACCTGCTCTCATCTCTTGTCTCCTACATTGGCCTTCTCCACAATGGCCTCCTTTCTCTTCCTTTAGTAAGTCAAGCTCATTTTGTGTCTCAGGGCCTTTGCACTGGCTGTTCCCTCTATTTGAAGTCTGTCTTTCTCTAATACTATTCCTCTGTGTCTATCAAAGCATCCTGTTTTGTTTCCTTTATAGTATTTACCAGCATCTGGAATTATTGCCTGTTTATTACCTTTTCCACTACACTAGAATGTACGCTCTGCAAGAATAGTCCTGTGCCTGTCTTGTTCAGTGCCAGGTGTCCATGTCTAGAATGGAGCCTCCCTGATCTGAGTGGAGTGGTGAAAAGAATGAATCTTCTTTAGTTTCCTTTTCTATAACCTGGGGGGTGAATTTGATAGTAATGTTAGGAGTGATGAGAGGACCTAAGAACTGTGGTAGGCACATGACAGGAATTGTGCCCTCACACTTACCGATTGCTGAGTGGAAGCTGAATGTGAAACTGATAGTCCCTTTCACATAGAGTATATGCAGAGTAAGGCTTGGGGTTTGTGACCACCTTGTGAACGCTTCACAAGTGTGACAGGTAGTCCTGATTAAGAGAAGGATCATTATCCCTTTGGGCCATTGGATGGTGATGGGGTTGAGGCTGGGAGAAGCCTCAGTTTGCCAAAAGTCACGTACCTGGGACCCAGAAGCTAGGTGCCCTCGGCAAAATCTAAGCAGCCATGGAACCCTCCTTCCTTCCAGATCGCTCTAGAGAAGTGTCTCCCTCTCAGGCCACCTTTATCCCATGCTCAGACTTAAATTGCTCCCTTCATCATCTTTCCTGCCCTATTGCTTCTTCTAGAGCAAACCTGGAACCCCTTTCTCCAGCTACTTTCTGTTGGGGCGAAGGGCTGCCAGCCAGTACAGGGGAATCAGGCTTCTTACTTGTAACACCTGTGCCCTTGAACTTCTTCATTGAACATGAAGGAAGGAGAACATGATCACAGATGATCACTGTCACCAGTGGGGACAGTGAGACTGTTGGTGATGTTTTCTGGTGACGAGGTATATGCCCTCATGAATATTCAGATTAAAGCTGAGAGCCTCCTTCCCCTCTCCCCACCAAAAGGTGAATCCACCTTAAGTTTAAAATTAGCTTTAAAATAAAATTTTAAGCTTTAAAATTTAAGATCCCACGCTCTCAAAACCATGTGGACAAGCCCTACTTGTTTTGACCTGGTAGCTTTATCTTCCAGGGCTCCTGGGAGCCTGCATGCTAGAGGTTCCCTCCTTCATCCTGTTCACCTCCTCCTAGGATTGGGGTCATGTGGCACCTTGGGGGTCTCCTTGCCCTGCTCCAGATCTGCAGAGCAATCAGCTGCTTCCTGAAGCTTGCTTCCTTCCACACTTAGAGAACTTGAGCTGTGTGAGACCACATTTCTTGAACCAGTAGACTGATCAAGGACATTTTTACTGATTTGTGATTGAATTTATACAAAGATCTTCCTAAACACCGCCAACAAAAGTGACATTTAGCGATGATAATGTTAGCGGGTACTATTTATTGAGCACTTCCTGATGCCGGCAGTGTGCCAAGCATGTCCTCCATGTATTATCTCACTTCTCATCTGCCCTAGTGCTGGGATTGACCCTGTTTTACAGATGGGAAACTACAAGACTCAGAGGGTATGAGTAACTCTGTTGAGAGCGAATAGATCATTGTATCAGAGCTTGACCGTAGATTCATTTGCAAAAACGTCCATTTTAACAAAGATTGGAAATACAAGGCAGGGGAGTCAAGGCTCTTCCATCCGTGGCGTTGTAGGCTCTGGCTTTAGTCGGTGTTACAATGACTCTGTAAGTTGGATTTTCTTTAAGCCACCCTGAGAAGCCAGCAGCCATGGGCTCTGGCCTTGCTTTGGGCATTGGAAGGGCTGATTGCCAGGCCAGGGCCTTCCTCTTTTGGCTCTGGCACCTCACTTGTGTATGGTGCTTCTCACCTTGAAGTGATTTGGCCTTTGCTGTTGCCTCTCCCTGGGGTGGACATGATGGTGTTCTGACCTGCCAGGGCAGAGTAGGGACCCCTCCGGGCCGTCTTCTCTTGCCTGAACTCTGACAGCTGGACACAACAGAATCTCACCCCAGCTCAGTCTGCCACCCCTGGATTAAAGCCACATTG